GAGGTTAAGAGCCCAGGTTTTACAACAGATGTGGTTTTACTGGCATTTACCTGTATGATGTTACTCAACCTCTCTAAGTCTCAGTTTCTTCAACTTTAAAATGGAAGTGAAATATAATACTTGGCTTGTAGGATGGTTGGGAAGATCAAATGGGAATAGTATTTACAAGGACAAGGCTTGGTGCAGTGGCTCATGCCAGTAATCCTAGCACTTTGAAAACCCAAGGTGGGTGGATCACTTGAGCCCAGTATCTTGCGACCAGTCTGGACAACACAGGGAGACCTTGTCTCTACAAAAAAATCTTAAAAATTAGCTGGACATGGTGCGTGCCTGTGGTCCCAGCTACTCAGGAAGCTGAGGTGGAGGATCACTTAAACCCAGGAGGTGGAGGCTGCAATGAGCTATGACCGTGCCAGCTGCACTTCAGCCTGAGTAACAGAGTGAGACCCTGTCTTCAAAAAAAGGGGTGGGGGGAATGGGGTGCAGTGGCTCATACCTGTAATCCCCACGCTTCAGGAAGCCATGATAGGAGGATCACTTGAGCCGAGGAGTTCAGGTTCAGTAGTTTGAGACCAGCCTGGGCAACATAACAAGACCCTACAAAAAATAAAAAAATTTGCCTGGCATGATGGCATGTGCCTGCAGACCCAGGTACTTGGGAGGCTGAGGTGGGAGGATCACTTAAGCCTGAAAGATTAAGGCTACAGTGAGCCATGACCTGCACTCCAGCCTGAGCGATGTCATGAGAGCCTGTTTCAAAAAAACCCAAAAAATGCAAAAAGAACTAGCCTGCCTTATAATAGGCCCTCAAGAAATGTTAGCTGATGGGAAAATTTGTGTCTCTGGTGGTCCTTTAAGAAAGAACAGATATGCTTCTGTCCTAATACAGTTTAACCCTCATTTCTCTAAAATGCCAGGATCAGATCATGTCATTTCCCAAGGCCCTTCTTGGATAGGATTCTTCCTTTAGAAATTTTTTTCATGGCCAGGGAAATGAGAAACAACTTCAGGAATGGCCCCCTCAAGGCCAGCTCTGTAGGCAGAAACCAGTTTGGAGAGTTTCCTCATGCAGACACACTTCCCTCTGCAGCATCTACAATTTCATTTCAGCCATAGTTAATGACAGTGAATAACCCAGCATGAAAACACCACTGACAGTTCTTCACCAAAGGATGCAGCTAAATAGCTATGAAAGGATTAAAAACCAATCTCGCCACCCAGAGAGCCTACAAGTAAACACACATACACAACTTTAGCGACAATAATCAAAGAGCTGGAGACAGTGCTATGGTTTCATGGTCCAATAAAGAAAATATAAAGGCCCCTTCAGGCCATCTGCCCTCTCCCAGCAGCCTGTCTGTCTTGATGTGGAGATGAAAGGGCTGGCGATGGTTGACAGAAGGGTCGAAAGAGCTCGCCTAGGGGTACAGTCTGCCTTTATGGTGATCACTCTGAGGAGGATTCTGCGGGTCAACATTGCTATTAAACTTTCATTCCTAGGGTGACAAATGGGATTGTTATCCATTTTTTAGAGATCATGACGACAACTTTGAAAGCTTTGAAGAAAACCTTTGTCTAGACAGAAACAATTCGGAAAGCTTTTGGCAAGCACATCCAATCTGAAACCTCTGTTGACTGGTTATAGCTGGAGAACGCTGACACATCCTATAGATGCTGTCCCCAGCCTGATTCGACTTAGTTCTCTGGTTCAGTTTAAGGCTTTGTCACAGTCCCTTTGGACTTCTATAGCAAGGTACTGTAGACCGGGCAGCTTAAACAGCCATTGATTTCTTACAGTTCTGGAGGCTGGAAGTACAAGACTGGGGTGCCAAGATGATGGCTGGGTTCTGGTGAAGGGTCTCTTCTGGGTTGCAGACTGCTGACTTTTCGTTGTATCCTTAGATGGCACAAAGAGGATGAGAGAGCCCTCTAGGGCCCCTTTTAAGGGCATGAATCCCACTCATGAGGTCCTCCAGCCCATAACATCAGGACCTAATCACCTCCCAAAAGCCCCATCACATTGGAGATTAGGATTTCAACATATGAATTTGTGGTGGAGGGGGACAAACAATCAGTCCCTTGAAGGTTTACAGCACCTGGAGTCAGGAGGACAAGAATTAAGTCCCAGGGTCCAGGACTGAAGTTATGCTGCCCACAAATCCAAAACCGCTCTGAGAAAGGCACAGACCCCATATCCTCAGATCTAGATGACTGAAGGGCATCTCAATTCTACTCTCCTCCAAACCCTGTTCTTTTCTGCAAGGTGTTTATTCTTCCTCTGTCCCCAGAAATTCCACAAAGGAAAGAAAGTAAGGTACTATTTATTCCTCTCTAGCTTTTAATCTATTGCATTTACTCTGTACTGGTTACTTTCTTGATGTTTTTGTACACAAGTAGTGTATTTTTTTTTTACCCCAGAAGCCACAGACCAAAGGAAATTAATGAATTATTCAGCACCTATTATCTGCTGCCAGATTCCTGGCAAGGTGTGTAGCATATATTATCACTGTCTCATATAATAAACACTAGGCCAGGCACCGTGGCTCATGCCTATAATCCCAGCACTTTGGGAGGCCAAGGCAGGTGGATCACTTGAAATCAGGAGTTCAAAACCAGCCTGGCTACACAGCAAAACCCTGTTCTCTACCAAAAATACAAAAATTATCTGAGTGTGGTGGTGTGCACCTGTAGTCCCCAGCTACTCAGGAGGCTGAGGTGGGAGAATTGCTTGAATCCAGGAGGCAGAGGTTGCAGTGAGCTGAGATCATGCCACTGCACTCCAGCCTGGGCAATAGGAATGAGACTCTGTCTCAACCATAAATAAATGAATAAATAATAAACACTGCAGAACTTTCTGGAGATATTTATTGTTACAAAGCCTTACACATGAAATAAATGTGAATATCATTTAAAATGTGACATTACAGGGGAGATCTGTGTCATTTTTTAACCAAGTCATTAAAAAACGGATAATTCAAACTTCATCTGTTTTGAAACTACTTAGCACCTAAGGAACAATATTAAACCCACACAGGTATACTTTCATACAACACTCATCTCATTTTCATCTCCACTCTGCAAATGGCAGACACGCCCTCCATCTTCAATGATTTAAAAAACCTACCTAGTCTAGCACATTACCTTCCAACTGTCTGCCCTCCCATTAGTTAATCTCTCCAATTCCTAGGAACTTCACCTCCACCTGATTTCAGGCTCCTTGAAGCCTTGTCACCTCTGAGCCTCTGAATCCACGAGACCTGTTTACCTGCAAGAACTCAGGCTCAGAACTATCTCTGGTCTCCATCCTTTCTCCACCTGGGTCACAGCAGCCCAGCTCTCCTCTCTCCATTCACAGTGAGCATCTAGAAAGGGCAGTCTTCAAGTTGACTTCTACTTCTCATTTCTTCATTCCACTGTGCCATGTCTGCTCTTACCGAGGGTCTCCAGCAATAGAGTGCTAAAGTCACGACAGCAATCCAGGCCCTGCCTCATTCAGCACAGTGCAGAGAAACTGAGGTCAGAGTAAAGGGCTCAACCCAAGGAGTTCCCCTCATACTTAAACCACCTGACATCTCTGATTCACAGGATGCTGTCAACCACTCCCTCTTTCTTACACAATTAGATCCTCATTTAATTGCCATGATTTCATATCAGCTTGATTCTCTTTCGACCTTCTTCTGGCTCCTACTTCTGGCTCTCTTCAAAGACATTTCTTCATCTGACACACCTTCATGCAGGCCTGTCCCTGCTTCACTTTTCTTTTCCTTTTTTATTTTTGAGACACAGCATCACTCTATTGCCCAGGCTGGAATGCAGTGGTGAGATCATGGCTTACTGCAGGCCCCGACCTCCTGGGCTCAGGAGATCCTCCCACCTCATCCTCCTGAGTAGCTAGGACCACAGGCATGTACCACCATGTCTGGCTAATTTAAAAACTTTTTGTAGACATGGGAGAGTCTCCCTGTTTTGCAGGCTGGTATTGAACTCCTGGCCTCAAGTGATCCCCCTACCTCAGCCTCCCAAAGTGCTGGGATAACAGGTGTGAGCCACCACGCCCAACCCTTCTCTTCTTCTCATCAACATTCTCCAGTGGAGATCACACCTACTCTTAGTACTCCCTGCAAGTGTGTGGCTAAAGCCACAGCTATGCTCGACTTTTCTCTTGACCTCAACATTAGCATTTTCAGTAGCTTGTGGGCAGGACTAGCCTACCAGTATTTTATATTCAGCATCTCCAAAACAAGACTCTTACATGTTAAACCTACTTCTGTGTTCTCAATTTCAACCACAGTTGTCTTTAACTTCTCCCTCTTCCTCAACCTTTCAGCTCCTCAAACTGATAGTCAAGACCTATCAGTTCCACTTGTCAGCCCATCCCTCCCTTCCCATTCCCACTGCCACTGTGTTAGTTCAGGCCCCCACTTCATTTCCTCCCCCAATATCTTATTGGTCCACTGCTTCCTGCCATGGGAGTACATGATCCTCAACCATGTACCTTCTCCAATAACCTCCCTCAATTTTTTTTCATAGTTCCCCGTTGGTTAAAAAAATCAAGTCCAAACTGTTTTTAGCCTGGCTTTCAATTCCTCTAGAACCTTAGCTCAGCCATCGTGTGTAGTCTCCTATTACTCAGCCTCTCTGTGTTCTCCAAACAGTTCCTGCCTTTTCAGCAACTTTGTTCCTCTCATTACCTCTGCCTAGAGTTCTTGTTCCATTCTTACCTACTAAACACTGCATCCACCAAAGCCTTCCCTTCTTGTTCCCACACTCACTTGAGGCTGGACCAAGTGGGATTCGTGCCCTTAAAAGGGACCCTAGAGGGCTCTCTTTTCTTTGGATCCTCATAGCATGTTTTCCATTTAGGGTATCAGTTACACTATTTATACCTTTTTCCTCATATTGAGGTAAAATGGGTCTATTTCTCCACCGGCTTGTGGTCTTCAAGCTCCATTCCATAAAAATTATAAAGTTTTTTGTGATTTTTTTTTGTGTTGCTTTGTTTTAACTGGGCATGGTAACAGCAATTAGGACTCAAAAAAAAAGTAGGCTGCAGCCACAGAGCTGGCTCATTCTAGTGGGAAGAGAGAACACAGGAATAGAAAGCACCGTGCTGTGTGGCAGGAAGTGGGCATGCCTTGTCATATTTGCTTTCCCCAGCTGGTCTTTGCACAGGGTGGATGAATGATATTTTCCAGCTGGAAGAGTCTAAAAGATAATGTGATCCTCTCTATGTGTCCTAGCATAGGAAACTGAGAACACAACAGTTAGGGACTTGCTCAAAATCACCAGGTCGGTGAGTGGCAAGAGATGGATCCAGCCCCAGGACCAGGGCACGCTCTGCCACACCCCCAACACAGCCCCTCTTGCTTTGCACACTGCGGGTGGGGTGTCACGACAATTCCTCAGGTTGCCAACCACAGGGAGTATTCTAAAAGCAATCAAGTGCAATCAGGGATATGTCTGGGCTGAGCGGAAAAAAAGGGAAGATGTTGAAGGACATGAAAATCCTTCTCCTTTCATGAATGCTTCATTGCCTCAAAACTCCCCTCCACTCTTGCTTCCACAAAATTCACTGGAAATTAATTTTGTTCTTTTAGAAAGTCAAATTGTTCTAGGGTTAATGAACTGAACATTTGCAGGAAAAGAGGTTGAACATTTTAAAAGGTCTCATTCCTGGATTGATGCTTCCCTGTACGTCATGAGAAGGCCCCAGAGAAACTGCATGATTTATTTTTCTATTTTAAAAAGTTATATGATTGTGAGGGTTTTCATTAAACTATTATTATTATTTTAATCACAGCCTCACTCCAGCCCAGGCTGGAACTACAGAGGTGTGCCACAAGCCTGGATAAAATTTTAAATTTTGTAGTGACAAGGTTTCTGTATGTTGCCAAGGGCTGGTCTCATGCTCCTGGCCTCAACTGATCCTTCTGCCTTGGCCTCCCAAAGTACTAGGACTACAGCATGAGCCACCACACCAAGCTGAGAGAGGGTTTTATTTTTATTTTTCCAAAGTTTTCTCAAAATCATTGCCTTATTCTCAACAGGGCTTCAAACAAAACCACATTAAGGTTCCCAGTGCCTGGGCTGGTCTCAAATTCCTGAGCTCAAGAGATCCATCTACCTTTGCCTCCCATTGTGCTAGGATTACAGGGTGAGCCACTGTACCCGGCCAATTACAGTTTTAACATGGATTCAGTGTTCAAAGCATGTATCCTAGAACCTTACCAGAGAAAGTAAGAGAGTGTGGTCACTCTGTCCCTCTTTTGAAACACTGAAGAAATCACACTAACGCCACCTAGAGATTTTATTCTTAACCAGGCTTTACTTTCCATAAACTGAGAAATAGTATTTCCCCCAAAATAATAACACTACTAATTTGTCATTGGTTGGCACCTTGCAGATTACCAGGTCTTTCACATAAACTTCTGTGAACATTTCTGTATAGGTGAGAAACTGAGTCGCAGAAACATTAGCTCCAGTAACCCTACTAGCAAATGACAGAGCAGGAGATGGCATGGCAAGGGAGAAAGAAATCCTGGACTTGGGTTCAGGCTCAGGACTGGGTCTCACCTCAAGGAATCCTAGGAACATTAAACTGGTCATGGGATGTAACCTCTTTGAGCTTCATAATTTTTTTTCTTAAACCACAAATATGTGTCGTACCCACCCCACAAATTTATGACAATTAAATAGGACAAAATGTAAAACACCACAACAAAATTCCTGGCACATAAAAGATATCCACTGAAAATATAGCCTGCCTTAGTTGCTACATCTGTAAAAGGATAATAAAATTGAAGTGAAATCTACCTGGAGGATGCACTTCCACTGTTAGTTCTCCTTGTCCATTTCCCTTTCCCCTCCTTCTTCCCCCACAAACCAAAGCTTCCTCCATGGAAAGGATAATTCAGCATATTAGAAAACAGACTTAGGGACGTTTATTTTCATACATCCACAAGCATTTAACTTATCTACTGAACTCGAAATTGTTTCTCAGAAAAAAAAAGGGACCCCAATTAAATATTTTAAAAAGACTTTTAACATGGCCAAAATCACTACATAATTTCCACATACTGTACCTGGAAGCCTCATGGTGATAAAAGTATTTGAGAATGTGCCAACCCCAATCCAGCCCTCTTGTCCAGATCTTTTCCCCCATCCTGTTCAGCCCTCAAAAAGGACTTCCAAGTAGAAGTCCACTGTTTATTTTTAAAGTCACAGTGCCACTTTAGTTTATCCAAAGCTTAGCTGGAGAGCTACAAGGGGTGAGGTAGGGAAATGCAGAGAAAAGGAAATGAAAAAAACAGTGGACAAAACAATTGAGAGGAAAAACAAGTTTTCTTACAAATCTGGGTTCTATTCCAAAAAGATCATTAGTTCTGAGACATTTTATCATCCGCTCAATGCTACAAAGCTTCCACGTGACCACTGGATGAAACAGTGTGTATCAATCCATGGCTTCCCTGGCACCATCATTTACACAGTCAGCAGCACGTGTTGGCAAATGAGTTCTCAAGTATCAGCTTACAGTCTCCTTCACCCAAAGCAGGAGGTCGAAAATTTTTTTCAATTAAATTCGAATATAATTCCCAAAGGAAGGAATGCAAGAAAATGTTGCTGTCATTTTAAAGACTGTTTTCGGCTGTTTGGGTTGTTTTTGTTTTGGTGGCGTAAAATTCTTCTTTGGTTAAGGTTTAATATTTATGTGTACAATTTACTCACACTACGGATGGTAGGAAATTCCAGTTATTCTCGCCTGTGAGTTTTTTAGACTAATCGTATTTACAACGAGGCGCTCAGAATCTGGAACAGGTTGCATTTTAGAAGTATGGAAGTTTCCTTAATAAGCACCCGTAAGTCCAGGCACTTAACAAATAAGGGAAGGGAGAAATTCCCAAATGTCAAAACAGCTCCCTCCCCCGCAACCCCAGCACCCATTTCTTTTTCCTAAGATTTAGGCTTGGAGAAGATACCAGAATGCAAACCCCTTCGGGGAGGACCGTAGGCTGAGAGCCGTGCGGCAGGCCCGGGGGTCCGGGGTCCGGGGTCCCGGCCGGTCTGGGCGCTGGCTAGCTGCCCCCCTCCTCGGGCTCGCTGCTGGCGAAGGCGCCGAGGAGGCCTTGGACTCGCCGTCGCTGTTGCATTCCGCCCTGAGGGGAGGCGGCGCCGGCCGCGCCCTCCGGCCCTCGGGCCTGGCGCTCTAGCAGCTCCTGCAGGTGCCTGATGTAGCTGATGGCGGCGCGGAGCGTCTCCACTTTGCTGAGGCGCTTATCCGCCAGCTCCCGGGGCAGGTGGTCTCGGAGGCGCGCGTAGCCCTCGTTCACGCAGCGCACCCGCTGCCGCTCGCGCTCGTTGCGCCTGCGGAGGAAGGAGGGCTCGAAGGCGCCGTCCAGCGGCAGGGGCAGGTACTGCCGTCTCCGCGCGCAGCCGCCGCGCGCCACTCCCAGCACACCGCGTCCACATGCAGGGCGACCCTGAGCGGGTCCCTCCGCGGGAGTCCGGGCAGGGTCTCCGGCACGCCCAGGGGCGCTGTGCGCAGCGAGTAGGGCAAGGCCAGCACTCCCGCCGGTTTACATGCCTCCATCATTCGCCCGAAGGCACACAAATCACCCAAGAAGTCAATCTCTCAATAGAAGAAGTCGAAGCAGAAGTGCTGGAGCATCCACACTGCCTGGCTCGGCGGATCAGTCTTTGGGACATTTCTGGGTCCAGAAGTTAGGTTCCTGGACAGGCTTCAAGGAAACGTTGCATGATTCCTGAAGTTCATTGCACTACTCGATCTTTTTATGAAGATTCAGGCGGAGGTGCCAGGCAAAGAGGTAGGACCTCCTAATCCACACTTCAAACCCCGTGTTCCCGCTGATCTTATTTCAAAAGATAACAAAGGGGGTTCCTCTGCCTGGCCCCCCAGCCTGGAAAGGTGAGCTCACACCAAACAGTCATCTTCCAAAGCCACCAAAAGCTTTTCAATGCCTGTAATCCACCACTCTAGGTCTTCAAGAGATGAGTCGTTAGCCAAGAGCCTAGCAATCTTCAGGATTTGAGAAGAGCTCCTCCCAGGAACCTGCGGCGGAGGGAAAGTGGACCAGAGGATTTCTCCTTGAAAATCACTTGACTGTCCCTGTGGTTTCCCACGACCAGGTCTAATGGAAGAAGCTTTTAGGGTGTTTGCAAACTTACACTTGCTCTTTCATTGCTGGGGTCTTTGCCTCATCAAAGGAAAGACTGCTCTCTTGCAGTTATAAAATGTATCAAGTCAAGGAAGACCCGGGCGAGGCTTGAGGTTTTTCTTCTCCGAAACCCGAATCTTTTAAGAACTCGATGAAGCATGTTTGGAGGGAACAGGAAAAAAAAGACTTTAGTAAAGAATATAAGGGTCTGCATGTTACGTTCCAACTTACGTTTGACTCAGGGTGTTTTATAGTTACACGCGACTTTTTAGGGTACATCAAAAGACTGAACAATAACAAACGCGCTTAGCTGGTTATTTCTCACAGTGCTTACTGTAACACAACTTAAATACTGTTTCCCAACCCCCTCTTCTAATCTCATCCAAGATATAAGGGCATCATCTTTCCATAGTGCAAAGAGTACTTTTCCATTGGATTATTCTTCTTTAAGAAGTGCCATTTATTTCTCGCTTGGGGCAGAAAAGCAACATTTGAAAGGTGGAGAGCCCCAGTTCCAAGGAGAAAAGATGATGGCTTTGAAGACTTGTCGTTTTAACACACAACCCCCCCCAAAAATGAATATTATCCATCTGTGTTGGTAAAGCCTTTGAAGATGAAAGTGTCATTAAAAATCCAGCCGTACTGGTTAATGTCAAAGAATGTCTTATCACTCTGAAAATCAGATTTCCTCTTCTGCAAACCAGTACATTAAAGGCATCTTCTCCTTTAAAAGTCCAACTTAAAAAACAAGAGAAGCAAAACCCCCTACATTTATGATGAGAACTTTCTGCCTGTTCTTCAGCAGACGAGGTGCTGCCCTAACATGTTTTTCTTTTTTATTTGGCAAGTCCTTTGCTTCCCTGTTGTTCTAAATGATCTGCCTGAAATAACTGGAAAAACAAGGCAAATAAAATAGAAATAATTATTCCTTTCAGGCATAAGTTAGTCACATTTTAAAAGGTGTAGCTTGGCTGGGTGCAGTGGCTCACAACGGTAATCCTAGCACTTTGGGAGGCCGAGGCGGGAGGATTGCTTGAGGCCAAGAGTTCAAGACCAACCTGGCCAACATAGCAAGACCCCAGCTTTTAGAAAGAAAGAAAAGATCGTGCCACTGCACTCCAGCCTGAGCAACAGAGCAAGACCCAGTCTTAAAAAACTAAAAGGTATGTCTGGGCGCAGTGGCTCATGCCTGTAATCCCAACATTTTGGGAGGCCGAGGCAGGAGGATCATGAGGTCAGGAGGATGAGACCAGCCTGGCCAGTGAAACCCCATCTCTACTAAAAATACAAAAAATTAGCTGGGCATGGTGTCGTGTGCCTGTAGTCCCAGCTACTCAGGAAGCTAAGGCAGCAGAATTGCTTGAATCCAGCAGGTGGAGGTTGCAGTGAGCTGAGATCGAGCCACTGCACTCCAGCCTGGGCGACAGAGCGAGACTCTGGCTCAAAAAAAAAAGGAAGAAAAAGGGAACAGCCTGACCAGCCTGAATATCCATCAATAGGGAAAGGTTAAAGATCTTAGAATATTATGCTGTTATTAAAAATGAGTAAAATCTATACATAAGAAAAAGAAGAAAAGAGGAACAGCCTGAATGTCCATCAATAGGGAAAGAGTTAAAAATCTTAGAATATTATGCTATTATTAAAATAATGAGTAAATCTATATGTAAGAACTTGCAGACATATCCACAATATATTAAGTGAAAAAGCAAATTGCAGAGTCACCTGTGAGTAGGAACATAAAAATAATTCTACATGATGTGCCTGTCATTTATATGTGTTTCTGTGAGTGTAGAGAATGAAATAGAAAGGTGTACACTAAATATTTTTTTGCATTAGTTGACTAAAAAGAAAGAGTGGCATTGGAAGGAAGCGGGGGAATGTTCATTTTTCTTTTCTTTTTTTCTTTTTTTTTTTTGAGACGGAGTTTCGCTCTTGTTACCCAGGCTGGAGTGCAATGGCGGGATCTCGGCTCACCGCAACCTCCACCTCCTGGGTTCAGGCAATTCTCCTGCCTCAGCCTCCTGAGTAGCTGGGATTACAGGCCCAGCTAATTTTTTGTGTTTTTAGTAGAGACGGGGTTTCACCATGTTGACCAGGATGGTCTCGATCTCTTGACCTCGTGATCCACCCGCCTTGGCCTCCCAGAGTGCTGGGATTACAGGCTTGAGCCACCGCGCCTGGCCTCATTTTTCTTTATAAATCTTTCTACCGTTTAACTTGTTAATAACAGCACTGTTACTTTCTTACTTTTATAACTTAGTGAAACTTAATAAGAGAATATGTGCAGAAAGTTCAGATGACACCCCGATCTGACCCAAGTCAACAGATTTATCATTAAAAATTAGAACTCTTGGATTGGGCTTCTGGCTCCTTGTAAATTCTGCCTCTGAGAATAAGTTTCTACGTTTCTACGAGACAGATCTCTCTCTCTCTCTCTCTCTCTCTCTCTCTCTCTCTCTCCTCTCTCTCTCCCCCCCCCAATATCACAATCAAAACTAGGTAAATCCTGATCCTACAGTGGTCTTTTTATAGGATTCAAGTAATATAATGACCTAACTGCATAGTCACAGAGAATGCTGACAGAGCCTTCCTAAAGGACAAAAGCATTGAAAATAAGTGGCTTTTCCAGTAGGAACAGCACTGTTTTACTCACATGATGCACAGGATATGGGGTGGGGGTTACCTTCTTTATATAAGAGATCAAAAGAGGATGTTTGACTCCTGATTACTCTGCAGTCAGTTTTGATCCAAGTAACTGTTCTCTCCAACCTAAAGCTGTCCTAAGGCTGGCTAGATCATGTAACACATATGCTGGCCTGCGAAGAACAGCTGGGGCTGGGGCTGTGTAGTCCTATTTGGGTCTGCTCATGAAAGGGGCAGATGGGCAGGTAGGCTGTTCCTAAAGGTCAATCAATTTAAAGGCATGTCTATGGAAGAAGAAAACGTCCACTCCTTAAACTCAGGTCCTGTATCACCAGCTTGAAACCGAGAGACCTAAATTGGCTCTTCTTATGAAATATTTGATAAGGTCACAAATACTGGCTGTTCTAAGGAAAAATATTAATACGATCACATACAGATTTGAGTTTCCTAGTCTCATGACACAGAGGTGTACATACCTCTCTGGCCCCATACTGTAATTTATGTCTGCTGCCGCAAGAAACAACAGGGATACATATGCTGCACTATGACCTCATGCTAGCCATAAGATCTGTCATGGGTGAGTTAACGAAATCTCAAACTGATTATCCAACATGATTCTATTATCAGTCCTTTTCTATATAGCTCAAGTATAAATTACCTGTATTACTGTGGGAAACAGCTACCAGGGGCTTCTTAGGTACAGCTAACATCCAGACTCATTCAGACTACCATGGGCCACATTTGGCATGAAATTTGCTTGAGAGGATGTAGGTCAGGAACGACATCTTGGAGCAGGACACACACATTCCACCTCCCTGGAAAACGTTATGGTAATCTAGGCAGCAATCCACACAGCTGCTCCCTTCAACTCTCCTGGAGCTCAGCAGTGGCTCAGGTGCGAGAAAACAAGACTTGTATCAGGCCATTGTGGCAGCTGTTCTGACCTAGAATTCTGTCTTTTAGCCCTCAGGGAGCCAATATTTCTTGTAAGAACTTCATGGGCATAGCTTCCAGGGACCCTCGGAGCCCAATTCTATACTCAGGGAAGCCCAAACCTTTGCCCCTTCATCAGATATAGTCGTGCCAGTCCAGATGCATTTGCTAGTCAGGTAATTGCTTTAATATAAATGAGGTTCTAAAAGGAATATTTATTTCTAACCAGAAAAAATATATATATAAGTGAGGCTGCTAATGACATAGTTGACATTTATCTACCTTTATCCAGTTTCCAGAGTAACAGATAACAGAAAGTTAACTGAAGACCAAACTATAAGGCAGAAGAGGAAAAGCTTTATTACTTCTTTATCCCTACCTTTACATTCAGTTGTAGAGATAATGCTTGTGTAATTTACAGCAAGATTTAAAGAACCATACATTTTTAGGTACAAATTATTAATGGTTTTTATGTCCTTCTTAAACTGTATTTGTATTGTAACCTTGTCTATGTCATCTTTTGTCATATAAAAAGGTAAGATTTTGAAGTAGTTTTAATCCTTTCATTGTAGCTTTTGTCTTTTCTCCCTTGTTTAAGGCTACCTTCTCCTACCACAAGTTTTACAAGGCCTCTCCTTGTCTATATAACACCTTGCTGTGAATTGGGAAAGGCACCAAACTCAAGACGTGGAGAATAAATGGCTGGCTCTAAAATTCATCTGGAAGAACTATTGTGCAAGGACGCCCAAATTTGGAAAAGAAGACCAAAGAATGCAACGTGCACTTTTAATATCCATGAGGGCAAAAATCACCACTTGAGATTCTAATTGGGGTTGTGTTAAATATAAAGATCAAATTGGGCCAGGTGCAGTGGCTCACCCATGTAATTCCAACACTTTGGGAGGCTTGACAGGCAGATCACTTGAGCCCAGGAGTCTGAGACCAGCCTGGGCAACATGGGGAGACCCCGTCTCTACAAAAAAATACTAAAAGTAGTCAGGCATGGTGGCATGGGCCTCGGGTCGCAGCTACTCAGGAGGCTAGGGTGAGTGGATTGATTGAGCCCAGGAGATCAAGGCTGCAGTGAGCTGTGATCATGCCATAGCTCTCCATCCTGGGCAACAGAGCAAAACCCTGTCTCCATTAAAAAGGTTACTTTGGAGAGAATTACCTTTAAAAAAAATGAATCTCTCCATATATGCACATAGTAGAACTCATTTATTCAGGTCTTCTTTTTTGCTATTTAATAAATTTCAAAGGTTTTTCATGTAAGTCTTTCACATGTCTTATTAGATGTTTTACAGGTTTTGTTGCTATTGTGAATAAAAAATTTTTTTCTGTTATTCAAAGCTACTGATTTATTTCATGTTAATCTTTAAACCAGTCATTTCATGAAACTCTCTTATTAGTTCTAATGGTTTTTAATCAAGGCAAGATCTATATACAATTAAATGCACAGATGTGAAATATACAATTTAATAAGCTTTGAATACATGTATACATTTGTGAAACAATACCCACTCAAGATGGTTTTTTTTTTTTTTTGAGACATGGGGTCTCACTCTTGTCAC